GAACAAACTAACTGGGACTTATTTGAACATCAGGAAATGGAAACATACACAGGAACAGTACTGGACTACATCAACTTCTGCATCGGAAATGTGACTATGGTCAAAAACATTCGTGTTTACCCCAACCAGAAACCATGGATGACCAGCAAGGTTCGCACACTCCTCAGAGCCCGCGATGCTGCCTTCAGGTCAGGTGACAGAGCTCTGTACCGAGCTGCTCGAGCCAACCTGAATAAGGGAATAAAAACCACAAAGTCTGACCATAAAAGGAGTATAGAGTCCCATCTGTCCAGTAACAACTCACGGGAGGTGTGGAAGGGCATAAAAAACATCACAAACTATAGAGGCTGTGAGGTGACAACAGGAGACCTGACTGCATCACTAGCAGAGGAGCTAAACTGCTTCTTTGCACGTTTTGCACCACAGCAGCACCCATCTGAGCCTGCCCTGCCCCCACACCCACCCGGTTACTGCACCACTCCACTCACTGTACGGGAGCATGATGTTAGACGTTCCCTCCAATCAGTGAACCCCAGGAAAGCTACTGGCCCAGATGGAGTACCTGGCAGGGTGCTCAAAGCATGTGCCCTCCAGCTCACCCCCACCTTCACCAGAATTTTCAATCTCTCCCTGGCCCAGGCTGTCATCCCTCCCTGCTTAAAACCTACAACCATCATCCCAGTGCCGAAAACGCCTACCATCACCAGCCTGAATGATTACCGACAGGTGGCTCTCACCCCGGTAATCATGAAGTGCTTCGAGAGACTGGTTCTCCAGCACATCATGGACTATCTCCCTCTGAACTTTGACCCCTACCAGTTTGCATATCGCACCAACAGGTCCACAGAGGATGCTAATGCAGTAGCTCTCCACACTGTCTGAGCCACCTGGAACAACAGCACAGCTATGTTCGAATGCTCTTTGTGGATTACAGCGCGGCCTTTAACACAATCATTCCGGACATTCTTATAAATACATTGGACAATCTCGGCCTCCCCCCACTCACATGTGCCTGGATAAAAGACTTCGTAACCAATCGGCCCCAATCTGTAAGACTTGGTCCCCACCTCTCCTCCACTCGTACGCTGAGCACTGGCTCCCCACAGGGCTGTGTGCTGAGCCCCCTGCTGTACTGTCTCTACACCCATGACTGCAGCCCGGCCCACAACAACAACCTCATCGTCAAGTTCGCTGATGACACCACAGTGGTCGGACAAATCTCTAAGGGAGATGAGACATTTTACAGACAGGAAGTCCTGGAGCTAGCAACCTGGTGCTCAGAGAAAAATCTGGCTCTGAATATCAAAAAAACCAAGCAGGTAATTATTGATTTCAGGAAGCACAGCACCAACCTAGCCCCCCTTTACATCAATGGCGAGTGCGTGGCGAGGGTTCACACTTTCAGATTTCTTGGTGTCCATATCTCTGCTGACCTAAACTGGAAAGAGAACACCACAGCGGTCATCAAGAAGTCTCAGCAAAGACTACACTTCTTAAGAGTCCTTAAGAAGCACAACCTGAACACAAAATTGCTGCTGACCTTCTACCGCTCGTCCATCGAGAGCCTGCTGACATACTGTATCTCAGTATGGTACGGCAGCTGCACCCTGGCTGACAGGGAGAGGCTTCAGAGAGTAGTCAAGACAGCACAAAAGATAACTGGCTGCCCTCTCCCCTCCCTCATGGATATTTACACATCACGCTGCCTCAACAGAGCAGAAAGCATAATCAAGGACTGTTCACACCTGAGTTTTGAACTGTTTGACTTGCTACCTTCAGGGAAACGCTACAGGTGCATCAGAACACGAACAAACAGATTCAAGAACAGTTTTTTCCCGAAAGCCATCACCACACTGAACTCACACATGCGCTGATTTAATAATCTAACCTCCCAAACCCCTGGACTTCTACTGTGCAATACTACTGCCATTTCATACTCTTAACTACCTCACTAATATCCATGATGTGCAATACAATTGTGTAATACTTGTATTTTTTACTTTCATTATTATATCTATATTGCGTTTTATTTTTTATATTTTTAGTGTGTGTTTAATGTGTGTTTTCTTAAGGCGTGTTTTTGCACTGGAAAAAGGAGTGGCTCCTAATTTCATTGTACTGCGTATAATGACAGTAAAGGCATTCTGATTCTGATTCTTCATTCGGTGGTGAGGCAAGTCTGGTGCTGGGTGGTCTGTTCAGGTCTTCAAAGCATGCATAGAACTTGTTGAGGGCATCAGGCAGAGATGGGTCTTTGGGGCATTGTTCACTCCTTCCTTTATAATCTGTTATGCATTTAATGCCCCTCCACATGCTCCGAGAGTCTTGTGAGATGAATTGACCCTCAATCCTCTGTGCATATTTGGCCTTGGCCTTCTTAATACCAGCAATATAGTACATTTGTTGCAGTTTACCAAAGTAACTTGTGTTATTAACAGATCCCTCAGTAGCATTAAACACAACCAAATAAACCATGTTTGTTCCTAATGGGGGCAGCACAGTGGCGCAACTGGTAGAGCTGCTGCCTCTCAGCGAGCAGGTCCCTGGTTCAAATCCCAGTCTGGGTGCCTTTCTGGGTGGAGTTTGCATGTTCTCTCCGTGCATGTGTGGGTTTTCTCCGTGTACTCCGGTTTCCTCCCACAGACCAAAAACATGCATGTTAGGCTGATTGGTAACTCTAAAATGTCCCTAGGTGTGAGTGAGAGAGTGAATGGTTGTTTGTTTCGTTTGTCTCCATGTGGCCCTGCGATGGACTTGCGACCTGTCCAAGGTGTACCCTACCCCTCGCACTGTGATTGCTGGACATGGGCACCGGTAGCCACCGTGAACCAAAATGGAAGCAGCGGGTAAATTTATTTTTTTTTTCATTCAACCTTTATTTAGACAGGTAAATCCCATTGAGCCTCGAGGACTCGTTTACAAGAGAGACCAGATTTCAACAAAAAATGATGACAACAATGGACAGTTATAAAAAGGCATACAGATTTTTTTTTTTTTTTTTTTACAAATAAAATGGCAAAAAAAAGTAACAAAAACATATAGATAAGGCGAATATAGAAAACTAAAAACAGGAACATGTCTGCACTGGTCCCTGCCAGAAGTCCAACAGATTCTTAAAGCCACTTAGAGAGGTCAAGGTCGAGAGCTTCAGGTGTAAGACATTCCAGGAAACAGGAGCGGAGTAGGAGAAGGCCCTTTTGCCAAGTTCAGTCCTTACTGAGGGAACACTGCAGGTAATAATGTCCTGAGAGCGCACACTGTAGCTGCACTCACGCAGAGATATATGGATGGATGGATGTTCCTAATGGAACAGAGCTCTTGGGTTAAATTCTAATAATACATTTTCCCTCACATGTTGGCATCATTATTCAAGAACAGTTTTTTCCCGAAAGCCATCACCACACTGAACTCACATATGCACTGATTTAATAATCTAACCTCCCAAACCCCTGGACTTCTATTGTGCAATACTACTGACATTTCATACTCTCAATCACCTTAACTACCTTACTAATATCCATAATGTGCAATACACTTGTGAAATACTTGTATTTTTTAACTTTCATAGTGCTATTATATCTATATTGCGTTACATTTTTTTTATTTTTAGTGTGTGTTTTTCTTAAGCGTGTTTTTGCACTGAAAAAAGGAGTGGCTCTTAATTTCATTGTACTTGCGTATAATGACAATAAAGGCATTCTGATTCTGATTATCAAAAGTCTGATCTCTGCATCTAACAAGGTTGAGTCATATCCTCTGGACGGGTTCTTCTTTGTTGAAACTTTTTGTATTTTATCCAAAAGACTTATTCAGTCTAAGGAGCTGCATGCAAACTCAGTCTTATAAGCAGCACCTTCTCTTAGTGCATCAACCAGTTAGATGGTGACAGCCAGAACTAGATGTTCATATGTAAAAGGGGGATCTTCAGCCTGTAACTTTGTAACTTTGCTTGCAGCTCCTCAGACTGAGGAAGTCTTTTGATTAAAAGATGAAACATTTTAACAAAGAAGAACCTGTCCAGAGGACCTGACTCTACGTTATTAGATTCATCCATCCATTATCTTCCACTTGTTCCGAAGTTGGGTCACAGGGGCAGCAGATTGAGCAGGGAGGTCCAGACATTTATTTCCACAGCCACCTCTTCCAGCTCTTCTGGGAGGACCCCAACGGGTTCCCAGGCCAATCGAGAGACATAGTGTGTTCAGCGTGTCCTGGGTTTTTCCCAGGATCACCTCCCAGTTGGACATGCCCGAAGCACCTCCCTAGGGAAGCGTCCAGGGAGCATCCTTACCAGATGCATGAACCACCTCAACTGGCTCCTCTCAATGTGGAGGAGCAGCGGTTCTACTCCGAGTCTCTCCTGACAATTGAACTTCTCACCCTGTCTCTAAAGGAGAGTCCAGCTACCCTGCGGAGGAATGCCTGCAAAATACTGGCCTGTGGTTTATTATGCCTCCGAAATGACATAAGGAGACACTGGAAAAATAAAATAAAATGTCAAAATGTGTTTATTATCAAATTTATTCAAGCTTTAAGAAAGTGTTGTGCTTTTAGTTTTACATATAGGCCTTAAACAAAAGCAACCCAAATTTTTAAGACATAACATTTATTTAGAGATTTATCACTACAAAAAAATAATGGTAAATGGTAAATGGACTGTACTTGTACTGCGCCTTTCTATCTTATTGAGATACTCAAAGCACTTTACACTACAATCTGTGTCCTCATTTACCCATTCATACAGCACTCTACTAGATCTATACAAAGCTAATTGAACAAATCATTCTAAAGAGACTAATCAGTGCTTTAGATCACATTCATACACTGATGGCACACACATCGGAGGCAACAAGGGGTTCAGTGTCTTGCCCAGGGACACTTCGGCATGTGACTGCTGTGAGGTTCGAACCCCCAGCTCTTGCATTGGAGGACGACTGCTCTAACCACTCAGCCACAGCCGCCCCAAAAAACAAACAAATAAAATTTTTTTTTTTAAAAATCTAAATGAACAAGGAAGATGGTGTCTTGTAGCTTACACGAGAGTAAACAGTGTCATTCCTGGAACTCTTCTGTCTTTTTGTTCCGATGGATTCTCTAACATGTATAGATGCATAATAGAGGCTGTCCAAGTCTTGGTTGTTATCCTAGAAACAAATAATGCAAAAATGGTTTACAATATAACAACAGATATAAAATGTTAAAGATTTCAAATTAAATCTTACTCCTGTTGAAGCTGTGGTGACAGCAGGACAGCTTGCTTCTATTTCACAAAAAGACAATCACATTGTATTTATAAAAATATGTTTAGTGGAGACAAATTTAAAGGATACTTTTTGTTATGGTACCTGAGTTGTGGGAGCAAAGCTTTTTTGTAAGTTTATACGTTGAGAAAGTGAGTAAAACAACCAGAACGGTGGTCAACGATCCAGCCATGAGAAATATCAACGGGTTCATCCTACCTGCAGAGAGGAAAACATCAGAAATGTCTCAGCTTCTGTTTTTACCTTCAGATATGGTTTAAGTATTTATACAAGTATCTATGGAGCGTCCTTTGGCTGCTCCTCTCAGGGTTTGTCACATGGGACCACCATTACCTCAACTGCTTGCAGCGCCACTGGTCAACCTGTCTTCCTCTCCTTCTGTCTTGCTTCTAGACCTTCAGTCTTTTTCACTTCAGAGCAAATCTCCACTTCTCTGTGTTCTCTTCCACCTGCTCCATACACTCACTGCAGATCATATTTCAAAGACATCATAGTCTACGATGACTAATGCCTGACTTCAATTATCAGCCTGTCTAGAAGTCTTAAAGTTTTCCTGTCTTGAATCATGAAAGATCCCACTCATCCAGCATACTCACATTTTGGCCTGCTCCCCTCAGGCAGGAGGTTGAGGCGCATTAAGTGTAGAACCACTAAACTGAGTAACAGCGTCTATCCTGATGCTCTTAGACTCATAAATCCATCACCAGGATAATCACTGTAATGCCACTTTAATTGGTGATATGTCACTTTATCTGTGCTGCTGGTTATCAATGCCGCTGATTTCTTGCCTTTAAGCTGCTGTCTTCATACCCATCTGCTCACTACAGACTCAAGTTCAGGCTGCTGTTTAATATACCGTATTATTTTACATTATTAGTGTTTAGCATATATCTTAGATCCTTCTATAATGTTTCTTTTTCTATTTTATATTCTTTTTTTGCAATTTTAGGTGTAACTGGGACCTTGGGTACACAATTTCGTTCCACCTCATGTACCACATGTGATGCGAATGACAATAAAGAATAAAGAACCTTGAACCTTCTCTACCACCAAACAAGAAGGAGTCAGCGAAGATTTCTGATGTACACCCACCCCCCATCTTTAACACATCTACATCTGCATTTACATTTATTGAACACAAATAGAAATTTACTGAGACTGTTACTCACAAGAGAAGTCCAATGCTGTCCCATTTCCAAACAAAATGTGTCCACATGAGACCACAGCACAGTAGTAGGTCCCAGCATGAGACACATTTAGGTTCTTCATTGGCAGGTTGTACACACAGGTGTGTGTCTGTTCATTTGGGTTCCTCTCACACTGATCATGTCGGTGTCCCTGGGTGTAAACAAGTCCTGGATAAGATTTGCCAGCAGTTCTGAACCAGTAAATTCTGTGTTCTCCATCACAGCTCCCAGTTTGTACTGTACAGTTCAGAGTCACAGAACCTCCTGGCTGCATGGTCTCAGATACTGACTGATGAACCACAGGCTGGACGGTAGAACCTGGACCTTTAACACTGAGTGTCGTACCTTCAGCAAAAGACACAACTTGTGCAACGTTGAGAACACAGTAGTAGGTAGCCGAGTCCAAAACATTCAGGTGTAAAATAATCAGCTGACTTGTCTGGTTTTCTCTGACCAGACTGAATCGAGGATTGTTCTTGAATCCATCATAAAAAACTGCGTCTGGACTGTACACAAAGACACTAGCAATGATCCTCGGTCTGTGTCCCAGAGGTTGGATGTACCAGCAGATCCATGCTGAATCCCCACCTTCATAGGAACAACCTAAAGTCACATTGTCACCAACATGAGCTGACACAAACCTGTTGTGTTGATGAACAGATGAGGCTGATGTCAGATAACTGAACTCATCTGCATTAAACCAAAATAAAACACAATCAATAGTTGTGACATCACTTAATACGGTGTACCAAAAAGTAATAAAATTTAAATTACTATTATCAACTGATGTTAGAATCCAGAAACCCATCTCACCTGTTGTGCCTAAAATCCAACAGATCAGGCAGAAACAAAACTGAGAAGAAGTCATTGTGTTTGGAAATTGAGCTGAATGGAAAGAAGCGTCATTTTTTCTCCTCTTTTATGAAACAAAACTGCTTTTGATTGGTCAGAATGAAATGACACAATGTGTCCTACTTAGGAAACAACCACGTTCACAGCTAACTATGGGGTCACGTTTGTTCTTGAAAAGGTTAGCTCAGAGGAAAATGAAGAAGAATAAAGTTTTTACCTGTCTGTAGTGTTATACCCCAAGATATATTTACCCGTAACTCAAAGAATAACAGCAAGGTAAAATTTAAACTAAAATTAGACAACAAAGAAAACGGAGTTGCAGATTTTATGCTTGACGAAATGTATTTAAATGAGGCAACATAAAAACAATCCCATTTAATGCCCGGTTGTTCTTCTCGGATCACTGCTATTGGTGTCACGTTTTACATTTTGTTTTAATCTTCAGTATGTATATATGTCAGTTCCATGCTTTAACTTGTTGTAATAAAACTGTCATTCAAAGTTGAAACCAAAAACAAGTCAAACTACTCAAGAAGTAAATGTCAGTAACATGAATGTAACAAAAAGGTTTTTTTTATGTTTTTTTTTTTACAAATTTTGGCAGATTTTAATTCCATAATAAATATGCTTGTGAGAGAGTTCGTTCGTTGTGGCTACGCCTGACGAAGTCAGCAGCCAAAAAAAGTACAATTTAAATGACCTCTGCAATCTGAGCCGTTTTTTGCATGTCATTACTTGTGCATGTGTGCGTGTGTGTATGTATTTTATTTTCCCTCTTTAACACACTAATGTAACATACTCTGGTTAATTTTTATCCATCTAAGACGTAAGGTAATATAAGTCAAGTCAAGTCAACTTTATTTATAGAGCACATTTAAAACAGAACCTGTTATCAAAGTGCTTAACAACAACAACAACAATCAATGGGAGAAAAATTAAAGAGAAAAAATACAATACACTAATAATAATAACTGAAGAATTAATAAAAAGCATTTAAAACAGAATCACAGAACAAAAAAACCCCATAAAACACTAGATCAATTTACACTGTATGAAATGCCTGTGAGAACAGATGTGTTTTAAGCAGAGATTTGAAGTGAGAAAGGGAGGTGGCCTGCCTGATGTTGGGAGCAGGTTGTTCCAGAGTTTGGGGCCCATGACTGAAAAAGCTCGATCTCCTCTGTGCTTCAGTCTTGTTTTTGGAACAGCCAAAAGCAGCTGATCGGATGATCTCAGAGCCCGAGAGGGAACGTAAGGTTCCAGAAGCTCAGAGAGGTAAAGGGGTGCAAGGCCATTTAAGCATTTGAAGGTCAACAGAAGAATTTTAAAGACTATCCTCGTACGAACAGGGAGTCAGTGAAAGGACAGAACTGGTGTAATATGTTCAGACCTACGAGTTCCAGTTAAAAGCCGAGCAGCTTCTGGACGAGCTGAAGACGTGAGATGGAGGCCTGGCTGATCCCAGCATAGAGTGCATTGCAATAGTCCAATCGGGTCATGACAAAGGTGTGGACTAGTTTCTCAAGGTCGGGTCTGGACAACACTGGCTTGAGCTTAGCTACCTGTCTGAGTTGGAAGAAGCTTTTCTGCAGAACAGAGTTGATTTGTTTGTCAAACTTGAAGTCAGAGTCTAAAACCATCCCGAGATTTTTACCAGACTGTTTCAGATATGGCTGAAGAGTCCAGGTTGACAGGATAAGTGGCGGCAGTTGAGCTTGTGCTAAAGACAATAACTTCAGTCTTCTCATCGTTAAAACTTAAGAAATTTGAAGCCATCCAGGCCTTAATGTCATCCAGACATTTTAACAGAGGGTGAATGGAGCAAACACTTGCTGGTTTCACAGGCAGGTAGATCTGACAGTCCTCAGCATAACAATGGAATGAAAGACCATGTTTCCTCAGGATGGACCCCAGTGGGAGCAAATAAAGTGAGAACAGAAGGGGTCCAAGAATTGAACGCTGTGGGACCCTGCAAGAAAGAGGTAATGAGGCAGATACATTATTGCCAACCTTGACACAAAAGCTCCTGCTACTCAGGTATGAGCGGAACCATTCTAATGCAGCACCTTTGATCCCAATCCACTGTTCCAATAAGCATCCTGGACAGATAGGAACAATGGTTTGAGAGACCACTTATGAACCTCTGAAAAGAGATCCAGGAAGTGGTTACAAGAAGAAGTTAATAGATTGCCTGAAAAATTTGGAGCAGGACAAGGCTATTGACCGTATTCTGTACCACAGACTGTACCCAGGGGAGGCCACACCTAGTCTGTATGGTTTACCTAAAATCCACAAACAAGGTGTACCTTTAAGACCTATTGTTAGCATGATTAACTCTGTCACTTACAATGTTTCCAAATATCTGGCGTCTGTACTCATCCCTTTAGTTGGCAGCTCAGAACACCACATACAGAACACCATGGACTTCATTCCTGTTGATGATGCAGTAGAGGTAATCAGTTTAAGATTAAAATCAGACACCACTCTGAGCAGCAGGACCACGCTTTCCACAGATCAACTGTGTCAACTCTTGAAACTGTGCCTGCAGTCAACCTACTTCACATATGGGGAGCAATATTATAGGCAGAAACATGGGTGTGCTATGGGGTCTCCAGTTTCTCCTATTGTTGCCAACCTGTACATGGAGGAGGTAGAAAAGAGAGCCTTGAC